CGTTGAAATTCATTTTTCTTAGGCGGTCGCAGTGCGACAGACAGCCAGATTAGAATAGTTATTGTCGTTATCGACTTTTATACCTCAAGAAGGGTCCTATAACTCTAACTTACCGTCTAATGGTGCACTCAGCCAGGCCTCATATTCTATAGCCTTGCTAACTAGAACTACAGTGCAGACTACTAATACCAGCATCTCTATCAGCAACAGTGCCCACTGCCACAAGGGTGCTGTCCTTATGTCCCCACTTTGATCGATATCTGGGGCGGAGTTAAAGTGGCGTTGGCTGCCTCAGTTAGCGGTTTGTGTATACTGACGACGTACAGATGTGCACTTCAACACACTCACATACTCACGCACACATACAACAGTACTTTCGTGTTTTGTGATCGGTGAGATGTGTTTTTGAATCGAGTATGTTAAGCTACATAGTCTCGTGAAGGTCACAAACACGTGGTCCAGTCATCGCCACGTAGTGCTGATACATACGACTGACTGTACGTAACAAGATTTTATGATGCTCGAGTACTGTACTATGCATGAATGGCCACATACAGATACCTATGATTGGATCACACATATGCGTAAGATCGAGATGCGAAGCACGTATATAAACACACGTGTCCTGCTCTCAGTACAAAATATAGTACCGCACTTTGTGTCGGTACATCGGGTGATCATTTATTCGGCCTGGCGGCTAGCATATGTAAATCGCAGACGTTGGCTTGCTTGTTCCTCCGGCAAGGAATATGAGACACGGACACGTACCTACACACCTACACGATACACTTCGTATAGTACCGAGCACAGGTTGGGGCATGGACTACCCTGGGCTTGCATGCACGCGCACGCACCAACATCATACGCACAAGCACACTTTATAGTCACTTGCTGAAGCCAAAGTTCTACTAAAGCGTAGTCGGATGGGATAGCTAACGAAGTTCTGTAGGTTTCCAATAATGACCACACATAGAAATAGGTCTCAAATCTCGACCAGCTTATACTCGCCGTATGCCTATATCTAGGCGAATACTGACGACTAACCAAAGGATCACATATAAGTCGATGGAATGTGTACATATGTATATGGTGTATATATGCCGATATATGCATATGTAGGCAGTTGGTGAATTCTGGTGCTAATATCTGCGGACATACCTCTTTTGGATGTAATCGAGGGACCTGGCACCGAATCACCCGAAAGCGTAGGTGAGTTTGGGTCAAAGTGTACCTGTGTCATAGACAGACCTTGTTCTGATATGTATTCGGACTCTAACTCTCGCAGTGACTGGTGGAGACACGCAACGAGCCAAAGAAATGAAATGCCCCGGATATAAATGAGTTTTACGATTGCAAAC